AGAAAGAGATTAATGGTACAGAGAGAAGATTGCTCGGTGGCTGTCCACTGACCCCTAGGGAGACTTCCCTCATGCTCAGAGCATTGGTTTCCCGCCAAGTACTCGGATTTACTTGGTAACTGGTGAAGCTTATGGAAATGGAAGTATGGAGCCTCTTAAGGAGGATTTCCCTAACATCTTTTCTCATTCCTCGCTGGCAACAGATGAGGAGTTGAATCCTTTCAAGAACCATCAGAACATGTTGGCCGGTTTAGATTATGTTGTTGCCCTTCAGAGTGATGTCTTTGTGTATACTTACGACGGAAATATGGCAAAGGCAGTTCAAGGTCATAGGCGATTTGAGAACTTCAAGAAGACTATCTGTCCTGACAGGTAATCGTAATTCGCTAGCTATTAGATTGAAACTATTCTTAAGTCTTAACCTTTTCAATGTAGTTATTTCTGTTCATTCTTGAATGAATAGTGCTATTAGCACCGAATCATCGTAATTTCCAGACCAAAATTTGCACAAACAATTATCAATCTGTTGGTGCAGGAAGAATTTTGTGAAACTTGTGGATGAATATTATGAAGGGAATCTTTCTTGGAAGAAATTCAATTCTAAGGTGAAAAAGCTTCACAAAGATCTAACTGGGGCTCCATATCTTAGAGAGCCTGGAGAATTTCCAAAACTGGAGGAGAGTTTTTATGCAAATCCACTTCCGGGATGCATCTGCGAAAGAACAGAAGAAATGTAGAAAGCTGAAACACAGCTTCCACAATTTTGTTTTTAAATGTTACAAAGAGGGTTTGCACTGTGCTGGCAATGTTTCAGACATGCCGTTTCGTAAGGATAAAAATTGTATATAATACCATTCGGTACCACGAGACTACTCGATGGTTGAACAAAGCCTGCTTTAGGGGGCAATTCCCAGGGCAGCATTTGAACCAACATATTAAGTCATCATCAATGGAAGTACCAGCTGGCCCAAAGCAAATAAGGTCAGACACACTGTTCTCATTTCTCGAGAGGTACAGGTAATAGATAAACATTCATTTGATGCAGAGGGTGTAACATCCTCAATACCGGGTTAGTGATCAAATTGTAAAGTTTCAGAATTTGATGACTAAAGTAGAAGAATGAAATAATTCAATGATTATTTGAATATATATTGAAGGTTATTTAGTAATTATTAAAGGAAATTAAGGTTAAATGGTCATTTGATCATTCAAGGAATGATATACACGTGAAAAGGGAGAGAACTCTCCAGAGTGCTCTTCTCTTTTCTTCTTCTTCATACGTGGGAGAGCAAGCCAAAGGTAAGTTTCTTTGTTTGTAAATGAATTGTTGATTTTAAGGTTGGGTTTTGATTATTAGATGATAACTAAGCTTAAGGAAAGCTTAAATCATCTTAAAAACAAATGATGGAGGGGTTAAGAGAGATTAAAGATTTGGAGTTTTTATATGAAACTTTGGAAAAGAATTGATAAGTAGAATTTGAAGTTAAATTTGACTTGTCAATGGTTAAATTAAGAGATTTGGAGTGTTAGAATTGGAATTAGAACACATTGAAAATTTGGTATGATTTTTGAATCTCATATGGAAGATAGGATTTTGAGGTTTAAGATGAAATAAATGAATATAGATTGGTTTAAGTATGTATACTAGAGTTAAGAATGAAAAGGGGATGATATATGAAGGGTTTGAGTGGAAATGAAGTAATTTTCGGGTTGAAAATATGATTTCTGGGCAAGGGGAATCGGTACCCATTCAAGGGGAACCGATACCCCTTCAAACGACAGAATTCCAGAATGTCTTGAGGGAATCGATACCCCCATGGTAGGGAACCGATTCCCCCTAAAGGAAAATGCGAATATTGGTTTAATAAGTTCGTTTAAGTTGCTAGTATCCAATTACAAGGTGTAGGTATCTAATGATTACCTCGAAATGTACATTTATGTAGATTCTACGCATAAAGAATTCCGGAACGTTTGGCAAGTAAGATTGATCAAGGGGAAAGATAAGAGATTTGAATTGACTAGTGAGGCCAGGTGAGTGCATATTAATTAGTTTATGGTGCTAAATGGAAACAAGACTTGCGACAAGTCTATTTCCTCTGTTAGAATGCATGAATATATGATTATACGTATATGAATGACATGAATTGTATGTATGCATGATTATATGTGTTAACATGCTTTTGAATGTAATGTTATGAGAAGTATGTGCTATGTAATGTATATATGAACATATGTGAAACTGAACTATGTGACTGCATGAGAAAGATATGAGCCATATGACATGATATATGTGAACATGAGAAAACAAAGTATAAGATATGAACTATGTGATCCTATGAGAATGTGAAAGAAGCTATGAGCTTATATGGCATGTGATATGAAAGTGTATATGTGAAATGATATGAATATATATGTGAAAACAAGTATATGTTATGAGATCAATGATTACACGTACATGTGATACGTGACTGAAAAGAAAGGATAAGTGGTTATAAGAGAAAGAATATGAATAAGTAATGTGAACTGTATAAATGATAATGCCCATGTTATGTGATATGAGAGCTAGGGGTATAGTTGGCATGCCAAGGGTCGAGGGTTTACCTATGTTTTCTGGACATATGGACTGTTTACCTATGTTCTTCGGGACATATGGACTGATTACCTATGTTCTTCGGAACATACGGACTGTTTACCTATGTCCTTCGGGACATATGGACTGATTACCTAGGTTCTTCGGAATCTATGGACTGGTCCTTCGGGACATTGATCGAGCTGTGGTGACAGCATATGTGTGCACAACCTCAATGTACTCACATACCTTAAGTTCTCACTAGTGTACATGGGCTAATAAAGTGATTAAACAAGCATACTGAATGTGATATGTATACGATGGGGTTATAAGTGGTTTGAAATGTGTTACGTGAACCATATGATGTTGTGTGTGTATAGTGTTTGATTGAAAAGGTTAACAATAAAAGTATGTGATTACATGATAAACTGTTAATGATGAATTATGTGTCTGTATGTATTTACTGTAATTAATCTGATATGATTTTATATGATACGAAGAATGCATGGAATTGATATAACATGATAGAACAGAACATGCATGTATTGATATATGTTATGAAGTGCATTGTAAGTTGTTATGCCTCACTAAGTCTTCGACTTAGCGTGTGATTGTTTCACGCGTAGGTTTCGAGAAGAGTAAAGAGTAATGCGGAGCAAGACAGGTCAGTTTTCCTTACCAAATGTCAGATCAGAAAATGTATGTACTGTTTACAGAGTGTAGTTGGCATGTAGTCTAAAGATATAAATGGTATGAACTCTGATATCCGTTGTAAACGCTTTGAAATAAATTAAATGTTATCAAAGTTTTTAAATTACCCACTATTTTATACGAATACATGTTTAAAAAGTCAATGTGACACTTCGGACTCGTATCCGGGTCGGATACGAGTTGGGGGTGTTACAGAGGGATTTCATGTCCCTAACTACCCTTCATAAGATTTTTTCGGGGTCTATTTTCCTTATTGTTTTGATTAAAAGGTATTGGTTTAGGTTGTTCCCAAGCAAAAAGTGAGTTTTGAATAAGTGATGGAAATATGGCATATAGGATGATGTACTCTATGAACTGTATTACATCAGGTATTAATAATACAAAGATATGATTTCAATGATTGATGGATTTGCTGATCGCAAATGTATATATTTATTTAATTGCTTCATAACATGCATTTGATTCGATTTGGAGGTCCCAATATTCGTTCTTTCTTTATAGAAAGTAGGATAGTGAAAGAGCTTCATATGTTAGAATTCGAATTCGAACTCTTACAAAGTAAGATCATAGCTTGAGGACAAAGAAAGAGTTGCTCGAATATGATCGAGTTTTGACCCTAGCTTGTTAAGTCTCTGAATCACTTGCCAAGCCTTGGCTGAATGGATTATAGATAATTTTATCAATTAAGGTGATCAACTGCAGGCGAAATTATGACTGCAACAATGGCTGCATATACTACTTGACAATTCGCATTATGTATTTGCAGTGGTTTCCACCTACTGATCTGTAGCCATGGGCGGACAAATTGTGAGGAACATTGATCAAATGATATTATTTTAGTATTTATATATATATATTTTGTGATTTTTAGGTAGAATCCCTATATTTCAGTCAAATTCTTATAGAAAAAAAAATTTTGTGCAATAAAATTGTCTACTTAGTGTTAATTTTTTTTTCTAATTAATATAAGTATCACCTTTAATATTGTGCAATCCCTAAAAAAGTTTATAAGAATTTTTTTGTGCAACTCCTGAATTTTTATCCTGAGTCCGCCCCTGTCTGTAGCTCTGTACCATCATTTAGTTTGAAACACTGTTTCATTTATCAAATCACCAAATAAAACTCGGGAATAAATGCTCAACACCCAAAGATATATGAATGAATGGCATTAAGGATCTGAACAACATAAATGCATGGCAAACGAGACATGGTTGGCAGAAGATGATGCTTCCTTTTGGCATGGAAAGCATTCATGCAATATCTTATTGCACTACTCAAATCTGATTTTCATTGTAGAAAATCCAGGGAACATTTGGGAACCTGCTTTAACATTCCAACACTTTAAAGAACTGCTCTCAAGTATACAAATGTGCAACATGAACATGTATTTACAAATAAATAACATCTTAAATACGATAATGATATGAACACGATACAAATTAGACAGATTTACCTATTGTAATACACAATGGTTAAATGAAGTAGGTATTTTGCATTGCATGTGTTTGAAACTGACAGGGGATAAGAACAGCATATGGGGACACCTCTGCCAAACTTATAATACAAAGAGCAGTGTCAAGAACTTAAATGTAAACAATTTAGATATATATAATTAAATAAACTTATATTAAACAAATATGCATATCAAAAACTTACTTTTGAATCTCTAAACAACCCTAGAACTAATCTTTGATTTTCCTAGTCTCCCAAACTGAAAAAGATTGAATTGGTCAGTGAGAATGCTGGGGTACTGTGGTAAAAGAAACAGAGGGAAAAAAGTAAAAAAGTAAAAGCTTCCTATGAGAGCAGGCATTTCATAATTTCATTGAAGCTCAGACTGTCAGATACCAACTCTTACACTAATAATAATAGTTTTCTCTTTTGGTTTTTTTGTCTTTTCAATCCACTAACCATTTTACTTTTATGGGTTTCAGTAGAGTTGTCAGAGACAAGAGCTGCCATTGAAGCAACTTATCTGCAATCTCAACAAAACAACAGAGATGTGACAGTCAACATTGAAACACCTCTCTCTCTTCCTTCATGATTTCAACTGTCAGTGAATAGAAAGAAAAAAGAAGAAGAGAGAAAATACCATGGTATGGCATGGCAGCATCATAATCAGAACCATTAGTTTTCAATTTTCATCCATGTTAAGAAGGTTTTTGCAGCGAAAATGGTCCCTCAATATAAATATACCTACTCTACTACAATTGCAGGCTTCTCAAGTAATATAATAAAGTACTCTTATTCATATTTATGTTCTCTCTTTCATTGAACTTTGAGGTTTCTTACTACCTTTGCTTGAATGATAATGAGTGGAAGAAACAGATACCCTTTTACTGCAACTCAATGGGAAGAGCTTGAACATCAAGCTTTGATCTTCAAGTATATGGTCTCAGGCATTCCTATACCACCTGATCTCATCTTCACCATCAAAAGAAGCTTCTTGGAGGAGTACTCATTTTCTTCCAGGCTTTTCTCTTACCAGCCTCAACATGGTAAAAAGTTAAAGCCCCAATTTTTTGTACATTTTCTTTTTGTGACGAATTGTTGTTATTTCGTTCTGGCTTTAACAATGGCGTTTCGTTGTTGTGCTGGGTAGTTGGATGGAGCTGTTTCAAGGGGAGAAAAATGGACCCAGAGCCTGGGAGGTGTCGAAGAACTGATGGGAAAAAATGGAGATGCTCGAAACAAGCTTACAGTGATTCGAAGTACTGTGAAAGGCACATGCATAGAGGCAAAAACCGTTCAAGAAAGCCTATGGAACCTAGAGCTACAACAATGGCGAACACTTCGACAGCAACTCAAAGCTTGTCCTTAAGCTTGTCTTCCTCCGACAATCAAAACGACCGCCATGGAATTGGTTACACCGGTTATCAGTCTCAGCTCAATGATCCCTTCATGTATCCCCATTCCTCAAGAGCTGTTGGCACTGGACTGACACTTCAAGCACATACCACTGAGCCTTGTAGGAGCTTCTCAGGTTCATCAATGGAGGATTCGTGGCAATTTACACCATTAACAACGAGCTCATCTTCTTCAAACCATAGGCCAATCCATCATTTCTTTGATGAATTGCCGCCAAAACATAGAGACTCGTCATGGTTTGATTTGTTTGATAAATCATCAAACAGCTCATCATCACCTTCAACAACCAGGCTCTCAATCTCCATCTTCAATCCAAGATCAGATAATGGTATATATTAAAGGCTCTTTTGGTTTTAACCAGTTGTAAAAATTAGCATAATTATTTTTTCCCTTTTTTTTGTTTTTGTTTCTGCAGGTGGTTGAATATCCTAGTTATGACCTTTCTGCAGTTAGAGGCCAAGAATTTACTCAGTGGGGATCACTCGTTTCACTGAATTCTTACTGTTTTAGTCTCTTATTTATCGTTTTCTTTTGGCTTTTGTTGGTGGTGTGTTTTTAATGAAAACAATGAACTCCATCTTTCTGGTTACTGTTGTTCACTGCAACAAAATTTATAGTTCATAAATATATGATTGAATGACTCCTCCAAATGTGCTGATTTGTAGTTCTGTGCTTTAATTTCAAGCACTTACTCGGCCTGCTGCAGCTGCTTACTCTAATAATAGTCCCTGTTATTTATTGTCTGACTTTTTTGAGCTAATTGCACGGAAGGTCCCTAAACCACGATCCTCGTTCTAAATTAATTCATAAATTCTAAGATATTTTATATCAATCTCTAGATTGTGACTTTGGTGGTGGTGGGTTACTAAGGGATGCTTGTAACGGCTGAAAACCGGTCAGAGCTATTGCAGTCATCTGGGAAGAGATAAGAGAGAAACAAAGGCAATTCTCGACGTAAAAGGAAAAGGAATTGTTGCTTCAACTTGTTTTGGTTTAATTGCACAGTATTATGTCAATCGGTTTAACACACCACATTAATATTCTATTACTCTAATAACAATGTTCACAAGAAATGATTGATTTATTATAAATCGAAAATAATAATGATTAAATCATTATTTTTAAAACATTAATAAAAAAATTATTCAAATATAAGTGACTATTTAATGTAGTTTACTCTAAACTAGATGGAGTATGCAAACTAAAATTGGTAATGATAAAGTACACAAATAGTTCCCCTAGTATAAGACTTTGGTTTTTTGAATCGTTCGACTATATGACATTAATTTGTTGAGTTCTTCTACTATTAAAAATTATAATATAATCAAAATCAATTATTTATATGTTCTAAACTTGTCATTTTTCGTTTAAAAAGTTATAATCATTTGAGTTGAATCATGGGCGAAACTAAGAAGTTTTTAAAGCGGGGTCAAAGTATTTTCTAATTCCATAGATATATATATTTTTTTAATTTGAGGGACTTAGTAAATTTTTCTTTAATTATTTTTTAGTATTAGGTAATACTTAAAAAATAATTGACGGGTCAAGTTGGACCTCACGAAAGTCCGTCCATGAGTTGAACGTTAACTTGTTGGTTAAGATATGATAAAATAATATAGTTCAAATGGTTGTGATCAAATTTTATCATATCTCAATCAACAACCTAATATTCATTTCAAATGATCGTCAACTTATTAAGACGAGTTTAAAACATATAAATAATCAATTAACCATATTATAAATTCTAATAATCGAAAAATTCAATAAAATGATTATATAATCAAAAAGATAATTTAATAACTTTTAATAATTGGTAAACTTAATAAAATATCGTACTATAATCAGAACTATTTGTATTGTTTACTCGATCAATAAAAACTTATAATTTTTTATTTAAAACATTTTCAATCTGTTAGCAGATGTAAAGTCTCTAGTAGGGGTATTCATTTTTCGATTTTAACCGAATTAATCAACCGAATTGAATTAGTTCGATTAATTCGGTCGGCCACCGAATTAGTTCGAGCGGAGAACAGTTAATAAATTTTTTAAAATTTGATTAACGGTTAATTCGGTTCAAAATCGGTTAATTAACTAAATTAACCGAAATTAAATTTTAAATATTAAATATGTTATATATAACATATGAACTTAGTCAAAACCATTTAAAACCTAATTAATAATTTAAGATCTAATAACTTTTAAACCTAAATCAATATTAATTAATTAAAAAAATTCATATAAAATTTTTATTTTATAATTATATATTATTTAAATTAATTATAAATTGTTTTTTGAATTAAAAATATTTATTTTTTATATAAATTAAAAAAATTTAATTTTTTTAATTAATCGAATTAATAAAAATTTATTCAGTTTAATTAATATTTTTTAAAAATAATTTAGTTCTATTAATGGTTAAAAAAATTTAGAATAGTAATTCGGTTCGGTCGTCACTGTCACATTTTCTGGCGACTAGTCGGTGCTACAATCGCGACCCGAAGAAGCCAAAGACGATGCCTCTTAAATGGTAAATAGTCCGACAAAGCTTTGCCTAAACTTGAAACTCTCCTCATTGATTTCCACAATTGTTACCTTTCAATTCATTTTTCGCTCCTTTTTCTTTTGTCCTAGGGTTTTCAATTGGCAGCCAAATGCAGGATTGACTGAACAGCCAAATTCTAAACGAAGTATCACAATGCGTCGAGAGCATGAATGGCGTCAAAGAAGGTCATTGGAAAGCTACTGTCACTTTTTACAAACCAATGCTACGAGGTCAGGTAGCACTCTCTTTCCTTTCGTTCCACCCCCCCCCCCTTTGTTTCCGAATTGGATTTATCGACTTTGAACTACGTTTTCTTCAGCTCAGGCATTAGCCGCCTAATTCCCGCGTGAATTCATTGGGATCTCACTTCCAGAACAACCAAACAAGTACTATTTTATACTTCGAGTTAATAAGATTGTGCTTGAAGCTGATTCTTCTATTCAGTTAATAATGGAGAAATTGCAGTCTTATAAATCCAGGGTCGCCCTTAATTTCGAGGTATTTAATTTCACTTCACTTCTCTTTTCTGTTCCATTCCTTTTATGGATCATTTGTGATTTGCAGCAATGGGGTTGTTTTCTGATATCATTGTTCTCTCGTAGGGGTTTCAATACCAACTAGGCGACTTTCAATATAGAGTAGGAAAGTTGTGCCCTCGCATTCTGAAAATTTCGAGAGGAATAGTAATGGAGGTACTGTATTATTTGTTTTATACTTTAGAACATCAACTGGAATGCTAATGTAGATTAATTTTTCGCTACAAGCAGGTTTTACATATCATTTTGATTAAATGATGGATAAAGTTGTTATTTGTTCTCTTAGACCATTGGGAAACAAGCTGATGTTTGATTTCTTCACTGTAACGTGTATTGATTTCTTGTGGATAGATAGGGTTTCGGTATTTGTTAATCCGACCACGTGTGCAAATTGTTGAATGTCAAAAGTGTTTATGATTTTGCATTTCACAGCAACCTGTCACTAGAGGAATAGTAGTGTAGGTATTGTGTTATATAACTTGTTGGATACTTTAAAACACTCTCGGAATGCTAATGTAGATTAAAAGCTTTTCATTTATGTGAGTTTTGTTTATCATTTTGATTTTAGTGATGGGTAAAGTTGTTCCCCCCCCCCCCCCTCTTAGAGCAGTGCCACAGAGATTGGAAAACAAGCCGATTGTTGATTTTTCACTAAAATAGATTCTAATTTCTAGTGGATAGAGATGGTTATGATATTTGTGGATTGGAATGAGCAAATTAATGCACGTTTGCGAGTTCGTTCTTTTTGTAATATCAAGTGTTTATGGTTTGGTGTTTCATAGCAATCTGTTAACCGGAGCCGGAGGTGTTTTGCTTCGACATTTGATCCTAGTTTTTCGTCTTTTACTCCTTTTGATCTAAGTCAGTTCAGAACTGGGTGCCCTATTGTCTCTGTCTCGAGGTTAAATTGTCCGGGGTTATTCTCTGAAATTCCTAACTACCTAGTTAGATGTTTTAAGCTGTTCGGCAGGGGAATGACCCTGGTTCTTTAACTTATTGAGCAACTGTAGTTTGCTCCGAGTAAAGTTGTTTGTTCCTTTGCAGGTGGAGTATCTTCCGATTTCTTCACTAGAGAAATTCAAGCAAATAATGAATGAGTTTGTTGATATTTGGCAAGAAGCTGTCTCCAAAAGATCATTGCCGGGTCATTTCATGCATATAGAACCGAGCTTCTCAGATTACGGACTTGCAAACCACTATACATTACAACACACGGCTTTCCAGTACGCTCATGTCACGGGTCAACTAATTGCAACAGTGCAAGCTGTACAAGCCGGAAGAAACTAGGATATTGATTGTCCGCTTTGGAGTGATGCAGAGAGAGTTTAAGATGATCAAATGTATGCTTGCTTGTATGACTGGATTAAGAAACAAAAGAAGATGGTGTTGGCCTGTTGGGTTTAACCCATGTTTTCTTAGCATCATGTTCTTCTGAACCTAATTAGTTGCACTTCGGTTTGTAGAATATGTAGAAAGGATCAGAATAAACTAAATGGACTTAAACGAGCCTATAATATTTATTTATTTATTAAATATTTAAACCCCTGCTTATGTAATTATGTTTTATATTGGTGCGATCTAAGTTTTGGTAACGCATATATATAGTCTACGTTGCACAAACTAAGCAAGAGGGTTATCATCATTAAAGGTCTCGAGTTTGAATATTTATTATCATTTGTTTGAAATTCTTTTAAACAAATACAATCCTATAATCATTTTGTACTGATAAAAAAATATTCTATGTTCGATTATGCCCGAAAGTTTTGCCATTTTTAGTTTAACCGTAATATACTATCTTTTTAGATAAAAGCTAGATAAGTTGTTGAATTGATATTTTCTTTTATATTTATACATTGTATTCATTAGACTCAAAAACATTATTAAAAAACATCATAAATAAATTATTACGAAACTTCTTAATATTTTTTTAGATAAGTTATTGGATTGGTCAATTTATTTTATATTTATATATTTTTATTCATCTCGTTTTTAAAATTAAATTATTCCGAAACTTGTCGATCAAATAATGACGTAAAAAACTAATTACCGAACTCATATGAATTAAGGGGTAATAGTAATAAAAAGGTGAAAATGACATTCAAAGTGTTACTTCACAAATACGAATAATAACACCAAAATTAATCAACGTCGAAATCTCAATCCACCAAACAAATATGAATATTTGTAAAGTTTGTTTAAGATATCTTTGGGTAGTGGGGCCCTTCATCCTAGATTTCAACCTCATCATTGTTCATATGCCACGTGGCCAGTAATGAATCCGCACGAAAATCAACTCATTTAATACCAACAAAATATGCTTATACATCAAAATAATTCATATATTATTCGTATAGAAACTAAAATGATATTACATAACTGTTTCTAATTATTTATATAAATCAATTTAAAAAGAATTTATTTACGGGTTTTAGATAAATTTAGTTATGTTTATGTATCGTATTATATAATCAATATATGTAAAGCATTTTATATAAATATGTTATTACATTTACATATATATCTCGAAATATTTTCATATTTGTAATATTTTCATTCATAATATTTTGTTATATTTATATATTTTGATTCATTTTTTTTATTTTAGTTTAAATCTATTATATATTAAATTTATTCAATTTTATTTTAATCTATATAAAAATATATTTTAATATTCAATCTAGTATTGTGATAATTATATTATTTATAATTATAATTTTGTATTTATAAATGTAATTGTATTTTGGTAAAATTAAAATGGAAAAAATCCTTAGGGGTCGTTTGGTTCACGGCATAAAGGATTATCGGGGTAATGCAATTCTCATTCTCCCGTTTGGTTGGCCGGTAATCTTATTCCAGGTAATCTTTTATTACCGATAGTTAACTTTTTGAGGTATATTACCGGTAATGTGATTACCACTTCCCTTAGGTATTGTTGGATTACCGGCGTTTTAGACTAAAATGTACTTAATTTTTTTTTCAAAATTACCTGCGTTGAATAATAAAAATTCTATGAAGGTTAAATTACAAATTTATACTTAAACTATGTTGAGTTAATCGATCGACGGAATCGGTCAAGAGGGGGGTGAATTGGCAATTAAAAATTTCGTGGAAGCTTTTGCAGAAAAATTGAAAGTAATTGCACAGCGATCTACAGTGGTTCGACTTTCTCAAACAAAGTCTACGTCCACTACCTTAGCTATCCACACTAAGGATTTTCCAACAAATTCACTCATTTGTTCTTTCTTTTGAGGCCAAAAAGATAACCTTACAAAATCCCTCAAGAGTATACCCCAACTCTTGAGAACACTCTTTTTCCCAAAGAGAAGATTACAAATTTGCTAACTTACAAGAAAACCTCACAAGGTAAGATGTTTGCACAACTCTAGAACAAGAAAAGAACACTCAAAGATAATTACAAATGAGCACAAATGGTGTTCTTGAAAGCAAAATGAATATTGAAAGGAAAATTGGCTTGATTTGCACAAACTTGGTGTTTGATGCTTTCTCTCTTGTTTCTCTATGATTTCTTGTTGATCAAGGGCTTCAGAACTTGTTTAAATACCCCTTGAATCAATTCTGAACGTTGGTAATAATTAGTGGGGATAATAGAGCCGTTTAAGTGTGAAAACAATTAATTTTTCTAGGTGGAGCGTCTCATGCATCGATGCATGATCAAGTATGCATCGGTGCATTCGTGTAAAATTCAAATATTTTGACAGTTGGAACACTTGATGCATCGGTGCACCAAGTGTGCATCGATGCATGAAATGCATTCGATGTTTGAAAAATAGCCTGGTGCATCGATGCATGGCTTGTGCATCGATGCATCAAATGCATTCGATGTTTTGAAAATATTCAGAGTGCATCGATGCATGGAGAGTGCATCGGTGCATGGAATGCATTCGATGTTCAATTAATTCATCGATGCATCGATGCATGGACTGATGCATCGGCGCATGCCTTTGAATAATTGATTTAAGGCTTGTTTTTGGTTCAAAATACTTTGTGAAAATTGTTTCAAAAATAGTTTAAGTACAAATCACAATTTTACACATTTAGTAAGGATTAAAATTGATCTTGAAAAACTTAGAGTAATAATTTGATATTCGGTTAATTGAATCGAATTTGTGAAATCTTAAAATTCATTTAACTTAATTTGTTATATCAAAATATCAAAAATGTTTTCAACAAACTATTTTATATTTACAAAAAAAATCTATAATTAAACTTTTATATAAAGTTCAGGGGTTAAAATAAAATTTTACCCTTTTATTAAACCTATTTATCTTTTCAATTTTATAAAAAAATTATATAAATTTTATGAATTTAATTTTTTTTAATATTATAGTAGAATTCAACTTGATAAAAAAAATAAATATATAATAAATTTTTTTTGATAAAATATATATTCCAATAATTTTTTATCAATTTAACCAAATACGGTAATCTTACATTCATACTAAATCAATCAAACATAAAAAATAATATTTTCAATAATCATATTCTCTGATAATTTTTTATTCATACTAATAATCAAAATTAATGAAACTAAAATATTTAGACAGAGATATGTCCGAACTCTGAGCGTCAAATCTGCAAATTTCTCTCTCTTTCCGTTATTTCTCTCTGAAAATTCTCTCTCATAAGTTCAGAAATTTGCTTTGTTTGGTTCCTGAGAGATTTGATTTAATCGGCGATCTTTCCCTTCGTTCCTCGATAATCCCTCGCCTTCCTCCTTTCAATTTGTGTGCGTCTTTCCTAGAATATAATGCTTCAAATTTTCAAGGTAAGTACATAAATAAGTGTTTTTATTAATGAGAGCGATTTCTAAGTTAAAGTTAACTGTAACAATTATAATCTTATTATGTAAAAATAGCATGCAATCTCTCTTTATCTATCACTCTGTCTTCGCTTAAACAGTGTATTTTTCTGGGTTTTCAATCTGGGTAATTTTTCCCCCAGAATTTGAAGCAATTTTTTCTCCGTCTTTAGTTTGATTTTTACTGATATTTCTGATTTTAATTTTTGTTGGTGTTTGAGAAATGAGATCCTTCTTTGGAACTCAGTGCTTGAGGTGGGTATATTATTATTTTTAGTACATTAAAGAAAGGTTCCCTTTTATGGAAATAGGATCTGCTTTTTCTTCACATCTCATCATAAATATATAATAATAATAATAACAATCAAAATAATATTTAAATAAAAACGGATTATTTTCATGTTTTGTTAAACTGATGATTCCCCTTTTGTGAAAAGTAGAACCCATGTAGGAGGCCATGATTCCTTCTGCAGACCTTTGTCTCTTCTTCCCCAGATTTCCTTTTAAACAATTCCAATTCCAATGCCTCATGTCTTTTCTCTTGGATTTAGCTTTAAATAACTATGCATCACATTTATCTCATCTTTTGTTATGTTCTTTTTTTCTTCTTCTGGTTTCAGGGGTGGTTTTGATTTAAAAATGGAGGGTGACAGTGATACATTCTCAGGGCACGGCAATGGAGGTGGTGGTCAAATAGATAGCAAGGTGGTGCAGACATTTCAAAAGAGTTTTGTGCAGGTCCAGAATATATTGGACCAGAATAGGCTGTTGATCAATGAGATAAACCAGAACCATGAGTCCAAGATGCCTGACAACCTGACCAGAAACGTTGGTTTAATTAGGGAGCTCAACAACAACATAAGAAGAGTGGTTGATCTCTATGGTGATCTTTCGAGTTCTTTCACCAAATCCATGGATGCATCGTCCGAAGGCGATTCGAGTGGCGCTGTGAAATCGGATGGCAAAACCGGTCTCAAACGAAACAGGCCTGCTTGAAAAAATATGGGTTTTTTTGGTTCAAAGCAATTATTTTTTTCCTTCTTTTGTGGCAATGAACTTGCACAGCTTTGCTCTGATGATATGATTCTGCAAAAATTTTCTTGTATTGCATTGTAACTCCCCTGTATGATTTGAATCTAATTGAGAAGAATCATGTGTTGAAACACTTTTTCAATGTTATAAATGTCAATCTTTGGTTGTTGTTTCACTGGGATCTAGTACGTCTTCATTGTTGAAACTCCTCCTTTGTTGAGAAACCACTCTTCACTTGCTTTTGGAGAAACTAAAAGCAGCTGTGGATAATCTTTTGGTTCCCAATCACACAACACCACAGCAACAGAATCTCAGTATGAGATAATAAGCTTTTGATTGCTTAAAACAGGGTAAAAGTACACTAGAGATGACTAAACAACACTCAAATCATCATTTTGATCCTTAAATTTTAAGCATAGTTGAGCATCCTTTATTATACTTAAAAGAATAATTTGGAACCAATGATGGGCAATGGGCATGTGTAAATAGCCTTCCATATCCATATATACATATATGGTATAACCCAGTTTTAACATTACATGCATGGATGGCCAAAGGTCGGGTCACATACGATTTTGGCTAGCCTGAGTCGATTTAAGAAGCATACTTCCTTTATTTGAATTTGATTTGACTCGAGTTTAGGGAGGTCTCATCCAACCTGAAATCTAATATGAATTTTGAAGTAAAAATATGCATCCAATCTAATCCGACCTGAAACAAATATATATAAAATTTTATTTTTATTCGGTAAAATATATAACTAATTGATATATATATATAGGGGTATTTTAGCAATTATACTTGAAGATATAGAAGAAAAATATATTGTTATCCCATATCGATCAAGTATTTTTCATTATAAACCCAAACTCAACCTAATTTGACTTCATCCTTTATAAAATTAGACTCAAACACAAATCCTAAACGTATTTTTTTTTATAAACACTAACTCTATTGAATCAGATCAAATCAAAACTTATTAAAATTGGGTCAAATAACTATCCCTAATTAATCATTATAGTGGACAAGGTGCTGTTTTGGAGTTAAAAGTGAACTTCTTTTCCCTTTAACCCTTCTCTTATAATAGAGTTGTTTTTCTTTTAAACCTTTTAGTCTCTTTGTGTAATCAAATGTGTGTTAATGAGTTTGTTGAAGTCAAATTAAGCAATTTTGTGTGATTGAGTAGACGCCTTTGTTGATGAAGCAATGGACCTACATTAGATGGCAGCATTAATTTCTTAATCTTGGTATAAAGCTTAGAAGGACTCACATGAATGCATCATTGATTTCTAGAAATCACTTTCTTTTTGGGCATTTTATTTTTCAAATGACGTGTTTCTCTTCCATTCAACCTCATTCTTATATGCTCCTCTCCATCTAATAAATCATCCACTTGTTAACGTAAACTTTATAGTTTGCTTTCGTATGAACAGGCCATAGAATATTATAGTGAGTTGGATATAGATAGGTATACAATATGAATACATATTTTTTATATTTATATTCAAATATTAATTTCAAATATAAACTTTAAGTAAAATGAAAAACTAAAGTAATAGTAAAAGGTTATTTGGCATATATTTAAACATAATTATAAGAGACAAGAATTTGTAATGGATAGTCATTTTCAAAGGAATCCAATTATAATCACTTTTATTCTTGGGTTAAATTATAGTTGATGAATTTTATAGGAAATTCATTATTTAATTTTTATATTTTAACTTGATATGATTCTGATTTTTAATAATATCACTGCACAACTTAAAATGTTTAGATTAAAATATTGATATTAAAATGTTGGTTTTCTAAGTAAAATATTATTTATGATATTATTCGTTTTTATTTAACGATTTATATTTGGAGTTCAAAATTATTTTTTTAATAATGTTATCTTTAAGATTCGAATATACATCATCTCTTTGATAATGTACGGTGCCTTGTCAATACGTTCAACATTTGTTGATACTAATATTAAACTTTTAGGGTAACTAATGATATTATAAAAATAAATTATTAAATTATATAAAATTAAAGTATAGGAACCAAATATCAAATTTGAGCATAGCGAAGAGCCCAAAGTCACCCTTCGACCCTTTTATAAACTTTTTGATACTGTAAAAGAAGGAAAGCCACAACGCTGCGTTTAGAATGAAAACCGTCTTAAAGCCCTGAACCATCGAGTTCATTCAAATGAATCATCCCGAAGGCGGCAAGGCGCCACCAGTACGGGGGAAATAACTGTAAATGTTTCCTAAATAGAAATTTTGGTGCCATTTCTCGTTTCAAAAAATCAAATCCAAATTTTCTCTCGCTAAGAAGGGAAAAACTAAAGAATCCCCCCCCCCTTTTCTCATTTCAAAATCTCACTCTTCTCTTCTCAGTATTCTTTAATATCCATTAAAACATTCAAAATTCCTTCATATTTTATAGGCTCTTTTGTTTTGCTTTATTTCAACGTGGTTAGGGTTCTTTTGTATAAACGGACGTAGATCTAGCTATTTTAGTGACGAAGATGCCTGTCAATCTCACGCACAACGCGATTTCCATGATCAACAATGGCGATGTCAACTCCAGGCGGTTGGTTCAGGTGGTGGACATTAAGCTGATTGGGAACTCTCAGGAGAGGTACCGATTTTTGTTATCCGATTCCGAGTCCACTCAACACGCAATGCTCGCCACTCAGCTCAATGAAAAAGTCAGGAGCGGACGAGTCAAGAAAGGATCTATCATCCAGTTGATAGGCTACATTTGTAGCACTGTTCAAAATCGGAGGTGCGGATTTCTTATCTTTCTAATCTTTTATTAGCTTATCAAATTGCCGAGTTAGCCGAATGCTTTGAATCTTGATATACGATTGCTCTGAAATTTCACTATGAGAACCTTCAGAAACAAATTCGAAGTTACGCCTTGGATATTTATTTATGTTTGGTTGATGATTAGAGAATTTCAAATTCTTAATTGTAATTGATTCTTTGTGTTTGAAGTTGAAGGAACTTTTAAGTGGATAAACTATTGTTAAGCTTTTTCCCCTGATAATAACAAATTAAAAGGACTATTACGGAGAAGATTATTCAAATTCACAGTATTGGTTAAAGTAAGGAGGAAGTTAATTAACGTTTTATATGTTTTGGGTGTTTTGGACAATGATCAGTTTATTTCCTTCCACGCCTTATAATGACTACACCTTAGCAGAAGTTTGTTGCTCTCGATCCTCAGCTCTTTGATTTGGAGTTGGAAAAATGTTCATTTAAGAAGTGTTTGATATATCAATTTGTTCTCTCTGTGTAGGATTATTGTTGTGCTCAATATGGAGACTTAATTCCGGAGTATGAAATTATCGGGAATCCAAAAGTTATTACAGGTTCTGAACCGGAAACTAACAAGTCGATCCCTAATAACAACTTGGAGCCTTCTGTGAGGTCCACCAATATATATATAGCGCTCAAGCCCCTGTTAATAATGCCCAAAGTTTCTGGCTGACTATTCAACCTGCATATCAGCCGCCCCCAAATTACAAAATGCAGGGCTCAATAATGAAGAATGAGGTACCAGCACGCATTATTCCCATTGCGATCTAAATCCTTATCAGGGACGCTGGGCTATCAAGGCTCGAGTGACTGCAAAAGGGGATCTTCGTCGCTACAACAATGCTAGGGGAGATGGGAAGGTCTTTTCCTTTGACCTCCTTGACTCCGACGGAGGAGAAATACGCGTGACTTGCTTCAACACTGTTGTTGACCGCTTCTACAATGTTATTGAAGTCGGTAAAGTTTACTTGATTCAAAGGGTAGCTTGAAACCTGCACAAAAGAATTTCAACCATTTGAAGAACGAGTGGGAGATATCTTGGAGTTAAATTCAACCGTGGAGCCTTGCCCTGATGAAGAATTCTCTATTCCGAGACAACAGTTCTCCTTCAGGCCTATCAGTGAAACTGAGAGTTCTGAAAACAATTCTATACTTGATGTTATCGGTATTGTGATATCTGTAAACCCTTCAGTTCCTATTTTGAGGAAGAATGGTATGGAAACTCAAAGACGAATTCTGAATTTGAAGGATGCATCTGGAAAGAGTGTTGAGGTAACTCTTTGGGGTGATTTCTGCAACAAGGAAGGTCAAAAGCTGCAAGAGATGGTTGATTCTGGGTTTTCCCCTGTTTTAGCAGTTAAAGCTGGAAAGGTCAATGATTTCAATGGAAAGTCCATTGGCACTATCTCTTCCACACAGCTCTTTATAGAACCAGATGGTCCAGAGGCTCAGGGCCTGAGAAACTGGTTTGAAACTGGGGGAAGAAATACCGCTTCTATCTCTATCTCTAAAGAAATATGCTTGGAGGATCCAAAAATGAGGTACGTAAACCTTGGCTCAGATCAAGAATGAAGGTCTCGGGAGATCTGATAAGCCAGATTGAGTCACAGCCAAGGCAACTGTAGTTTTCATTAAAACAGATAATTTCTGTTATACAGTCTGCCCTTTGATGATTGGAGATAGACAGTGCAGTAAGAAAGTGACGCAATCTGGTAATAAAAGATGGCTTTGTGACCGTTGCAACCAAGAATTTGAGGAATGTGATTACAGGTCTTCTCCAGGTCCTGATTCAAGAGCATACAGGACTGACTTGGGTAACTACTTTCCAGGAATCCGGCGAAGATATCTTGGGATGCTTGGCAAAGGAAATGTATTTGTTGAAATACGATTTGCAGAATGATACCTGATTTGATGAAATTATTCGCAGCAGGCTCTTTCACCAATACCTGTTCGGGCTTAAAATCAAAGAGGAACTCTATGGTGACGATCAGAGGGTTAAAATCACTGTAGTGAAGGTTGACAATGTGAACTACACTGCAGAAAGCAGGTACCTTCTAGATATGGCTACAAAGAAATTCCCAAATAAAAAACAATTCTGAAGGCAAAGTAATGATTTAGGAGCAGTAGCTCTGGTTTAACGTAGTTGGTTTACATTTCTTCGGCATTATCGGTTCACATAATTGCTTTTAATGATTCAGATTCCTAGTGTTTTTTAGATCAAATATTTGTAGAGAGACCTTACGTGGTTGTACAGTGGCTATAATTCTGGTTATTCTTGA